CTCTCTCTCTCTCTCTCTCTCTCAATCATGGATCCACTCCACCACTCACTCATTAAGGTTAAACCCGTTCACTTTAAGACAAGTTTTCAAAAGATCCACTGTTTGATTTAGAAGTGAACGTGACGATATTGATACTCAATATTATTGCACGTTTCATACAGTTTTAGAAAGTGTACATCCGGTTTAAAAAGAGTACAGCCAGGCGGATGGATGGATGGTAAGAATAAGGGACAAGGTTGAGCGAGGTGAAAATAATTCATCTGTTAAGAACGCATCTGAGACTTGCACAATATGGAGGATCCAAGCTTTCTGGAGCAAGGGGCTAAGAAAGTTACTCAGGATGAAATGGACAGCCCTGGTTACCAACAAGGAAGTATTACAGGCAACAGGAATCCGTTCTTTCTTTTTTTTAAAAATCAATAATGTTATTTGTTGAAAATGGCATGGCGATTTGAAATAATGGGATTAGTTAATTGATAATTTAATCCTCTGAACAGATACAAAGAAAATGTCGCACGGCCTCATAAAAACACCCCAATAACATCGAAGAACAAAATACAGAGGTACTACGGTAAACCTGGTCATATATAAACAGTGTCAGCAGCTAGAGATTGGTAGTGGTAGTGGGGTAGTAATAAAGTAATAGTAAGTAGCTCGTTCTCAGTAGAGCTGGGCAATGAGTCGCTTCGGCAAAATCCGGATAATATTTTAGAGCACCTCTTCGGCTAATAATATGATATGAACCGCTTCGGCAAATGGGTTAGAACCACTTTGACAAAAGGGTTATCATCACTTCAACAAATGGGAGCACCCACTTCGGCAAACGGGTCAGGAAAGAGAGTTAAGAGTCTGAAATCGGATAATGTTTCATTGAGAATTATCCGGTTTTCCTTTCGGATTATCCGGATTTTGCCCACCTCTAGTTCTCAGTCATCAGTCCACACACGTCCTTGAGTGAGTGACTTCACATTTTTTTCCAAAAAGTTTCCTGTGTACGTGATTCTGTGCCACCCAGTCCAGAAATCTGTCTCGTCTGCCAACTACTGTGGTGACGTGCGCCTGTTACTGCTGTGGGCCGATTGACGTGGGAAAAAAGGAAGCTAGGAGGACATCGTTGTTGTTTGTTTCACCGAGAATTGGTTTGGCATTGTGGCTCAACGAACCTAGCGGTTTGTGACTGACAGCTTCCATCACCACCCTCCGCCGCAGGTGCGCGGAACACGGCACATAGGGGAGGGGGGACACAGTTTCCTCCCCTGGGTTTGGAATGATGCTCCCACAGTTTATTCCGACCCTTTGTGTAGATTTGCCACTCACAAATCGAGTTACAAAGTATGAAAAAAGAACCTGTTTTCAAAACAGAGCTACAAGTAATTATTTTTAAGTTGATTCTTGAATTTGAAAATTCAGAGGAAACTATCACATAAACCATAATCCTGGAAATAAATTATTTTGTCAAGAATGAAGAAGGGGGCAATGTGTAGAGTCGTGGACAATTGCAAGTGGCATGTGATCTTTTCTTTCATAATTTTGTTTTGCTGGACTTTTCAAATGTGTGGAAATTGATAAAACGTTGGGTTTTTTTTTTACTGGAGCATACTTTTAGATTCGTAGAGATTCGCCCCATAATCAGTTCTAGATCTGTAATTCCAAATATTGCAACAAGGTTGTGTTGACTCTCGCAGAGACGTGGAGTCGTATGGGAAGAGTCATGAACCCAACCACCATGTTGGCCTTTTCTACAACTGAGAGCAAATCGTCTTTTCTGAGGGTTATTTTTTCTCTTTTTCTCACATCCTTGTTGTTACCCCAACCCAATCAAATGACGTATGCTTCCAAAAATAAACCAAATGAGGTCTTCAAACGAGTCAGCCATCTTCTGAACCGCCGAGAACTGAACAAAATGACCAAAGATTCCCTGGAGGAGTTGACCACTAGGGTCACCATCAGCTACGAGACAGGACGGAAAGGTTTTCAGTACGTTGACTTGCTCCATGACGCGATGTCAGCTGAAAGCACAAGATTTGATGACTTGGAGGACCCCTCGCTGAGGTTGTGGTCTATTAGAGCCTTCAGAATAGGTGAGCTGCCTTAATTAGCTTTCTTTTTTAAATTACGAACATAACATTTTTGTGTTTATGTTTAAGATCAGATCATTTTTTTAAAAATCTATCGTCCACAGTACATTGGATTGAACATCACTCTTATAATTTATAAAGTAGCATATTATTACGCCACCTGTCGTTTGTCGCTCGGCTTGTTTGGCCATCATTTTTTTTCTGTATGTCTCTCTCTCTCTCTCTCTCTCTCTCTCTCTCTCTCTCTCTCTC